GAAAAAAAAATCAATAGTTTTCTCAGTAAGATCCTGGGCATAATGTTAATGGCACAGGATTTTAAAAAAAATACAATTTTCACTTGTCTCCTCATCCCGCAATTTTCTAATGCTTCGAATTATTATTGTTACATGTACCGAGATACAGTGTATTGTTTTGCGTGCTATCCAGACAAATCATACCTTACACAAATACATCAAGGTAATAGGACAGAATGCAGAGTATAGTGTTACAACTATGGAGAAGCTGAAGAGAAAGATCAACTCTCATATAACAGGTCTGTTCATATGTCTGATAACAGCAGGGAAGAAGCTGTTCTTTAATCTGTTGGGACGTTTTTTCAACTTTTGTACCTTCTGCCTTTTGGAAGAGAATGAAAGTGAGTATAACTAGAGTGGGAGGGGTCTTTGATAATGTTGGCTGCTTTCCTGAGGCAATGGAAGGAGAGCTGGTTTTTGTGAAGGACTGGGCTGTGTTGACAACTCTAATTTCTCGCGGTCTTGGGCAGAGCAATTGCCATACCAAACTATGATGCATCTGGATAGGATGCTTTCTATTAGACTCCATCAATAGTCTGCTTGTTCTGTTAAATTCCTGAGGTACGTATTAATTAACTGGAATGATGCATTTTTGTACATTACATCTGCTAATCACCTCCTTAACACTGAAAATGGTCATGTTTCCCCATAGCACCACACCCACAAACATCCACTCACTCCACCACTGATGCTCAGGAGCATCTGCAAGATGCATTGCAGAATTCACTGAGGCTCCTTAGCGAGCACCTTCCAAACCCACGACAACTTCCATCTAAAAAGGAAGAGGACTGCACATACATGGGAACACCACCAACTGCGAGTTCTCCTCCAAGCCACTCACCTGACTTGGAAATATATCACCATTCCTTCACTGAACTGGGTTAAAATCCTGGAACGCCCTCCCATACAGTATTGACAGACTACCTACAGCACATGGTCTGCATTGGTTCAAGAATACAGCTCACCACCACCACCTTAAGGGTAACGGAGCAACAAATACTGACCCAGCTAGTGATATGCACATCCCATGAGCAAATTTTTAAAGTAAGTATCCAGGCCAGAAAAATGCAAGTTAGAATCATAGAATACTCTGTCCCACAGCATTTCCTACGACTGATCCATCTGGCCTATACATCCCTGGTCACTATGATCATGCTAAATTGACCAATCTACCTAACCTGCACATCTTTGATCTGTGGAGGAAACCCAGACATGGGAAGAGTGCACAAACACCACATAGACGATTGTTCAAGGGTGGGATTGAACCCAGGTCCCTGGCCCTGAGAGGCACCAGTGTTAACCACCAAGCTACAGTGCTGCCTGTTGTTCACAGCCAGCTCACAGTGAAGTATCCACTGTGTATCAGCATAGCTAGAAATCTAAACAATTCAAATTTAAGGATGGTACTCACCAGCCAGCGCTCCACTTACTGTCCCCCTACCCTGACAATTGAGAATTTTCACACTACGGATATTTGCTCCTTTTGCTACGCCAGAGTCACGCCCACTCACTATTCCTGCAGTGTGTGTTCCATGGCTATCACACTTATTAACCTGGAGGGGGGGAAAAAGACAGCAATAAAATTTGCATATTAGAAATACTATCAGCACTGTACAGCACACTTTGTTATAGCTCCACTCTTGCAATGCTGAAACTGAGCAAGTGAACGTTTTCTCAGTTTATTTGCTTGCCTTTCTCTGTAGTAACATGCATCATGCAAAACATTAGTTTCATCATGATGAAAGTCTCCACAGATGCAAATAAAGCATGTCCAGTATGAATCTTCAATTGTACATTTCAGATTTCAGTGGCATCAATAGTGTTAGTTAAAGCACTGTCACTGAAATAGGACATTAAAGGTTGTCATATCTCTGGCACGTCACAGATTCCCTTTTCTCTGCACTCCAATCAAATAGCCTACATCTCCAAAGTACTCAAGAAGCTGTCCTATCAATGTTCCTGAATGTCTCCTTTATTTATCTCAATGGCATAATTCCAAGTTCCTGTCCAAGCTACAGATCCACAAAATCCATATTCTCTGCCATTTAGAAGAGAGAAGGGTGATCTCATTGAAACACACAGGATTCTGATGGGATTTGAAATGGTGGATACAAAAGTTGTTTTTCCCTGCCCAGGGAAAGGGCAGGCCAGTTTTTGAAAAATATAAGGAGGAGTTTCTCTATTCATAGGATTGTGAAAATTCTCTACACCAGAGGGTTGCAGGGGCCCCATTGTTAAGGCTGAAACTGATGATATTTGGTCTTACAGGGAAGCAAAGTATACGGGGGAAAGTGAGTGGAAAAATGGAGTTGAAACTAAAGATCAGCCAGGATCATGTTGAATGACCAAAGCAGCCTCAACAAACCCAACTGTCTACTCCTGCTCCTGGATTCTTAAAGTCATGATCATAAGGACATCAATATTCATCACTGAGTCAAAATTCTGGGACTTCCAAAGCAGTAGTTCAGAACCTTCACACTGCAGTGACTCAAGAAGGTGCCTTACTACCAACTAAGGATGTGTGATAAATTGTGGCCATGGTACCATACTAACAGCTATATCTCACAAATCGAATATTAGCTTTTAACTAATTCAAAGGCAATACTTTTTTTTGAGTGCTTGTTCTGCTCTATACATCTACCAGTGAAAAATTAAGCTTTTCCCAATTTAACAGCAGTTGAATTACCTGGCGGTAGAATCGAGTGCCATCTTCCTCTGGGACATTCTCAAACTCTGTAATGAAGACTTTCCCTTCAATCTCTCGATGGTTGCTCTGCACACCAGTATCAAGTAAGTACACTTCCACCAGATCACCATAATCTAGCAACAACACAATAAGAATGACAAAATAGGTGAGTTGTCAATTTTGCAAACAATTACAAATTACTGGCAAAGCAAGGATTACTTCTTCCATTCAAAATTTGAAATTAGTTTGGATGTCTGTAAGTTACCATTACTGAATCACACACAGATGCTGGATAGCTGTGAGAAGAAATGATAAAGCCTGTTGTAGGACCAGTGGGTCTGAGACAAGAATAAATTCTTTGTGGAAATAAAACAAATGAACTTGCATTGAGAGAGCCAATGATATAGATCTGAACTGAAAAGTCCAAACAAAAATATCTGTAAACTCCAAAATGTTACTTTTAACTAGTTTCTTGCTAATTATTGAAATTGCTCTGAATGTCAAGCTGTAAAAGGGACGTACTTGGAAGGATATACTGTTCCATTCTCTGCTCTGAAGGAACAATCCGATTTAGATTCCAGGGAATTGTCTGAGCAAACAAGGAAGAGTCCTCTTCAATATATTTGATATGAGGCAATCTCAGTGCCTATGAAAAATAGATTTCACAAATTAGACATGTATGTTCAAGGTTTTGTACATAAAAAGTGGAGACTTGAATTAATACAGCACCTTTTGAGACCACTGGAGTCCTCAAAACAGTTTACAGCCAAATAGAGTACTTTTGAAGTGTAGTCACTATTGCACTATTGAAAAATCAGCAAGCTGTTTGGATATAGCAAACTGCAAAAACAGCAGTGTGATAATGGCCAGGTAATATGTTTTATGTTGATTGAGAGGGAAACATCGGTCAGAACACCAGAGAAAACTCGTTCAGAGATAGTAGGAACTGCCGATGCTGGAGAATCTGAGGTGTAGAGCTGGATGAACACAGCCGGCCAAGCAGCATCAGAGGAGCAGGAAGGATGACGTTTCGGGTCTGGACCTTTCTTCAGAAATGGGGGTGTAGGTGGGGAGTTAGGATGGGGGTTGGTCAGTCAAGGGAAGACGGACATGTCAAGAAGGCAGGGATGAGGCTAGTAGGCAGGAGGTGGGGGTTGAGGCGAGAGGAGCGGATAGGTGGGAGAAAAGACGGACAGATCGAGGAGGCGGGGGCGAGCTGGGCTGGTTTTGGGATGAGGTCGGGGACGGGGAGATTTTGAAGCTTGTGAAGTCCACATTGATACCATTGGACTTCCCAAGTGAAATATGAGGTGCTGCTCCTGCAACCTTCGGTATCGTTGTGGCACTGGAGGAGGCCCAGGATGGACATGTCGTCCAAGGAGTGGGAGGGGGAGTTGAAGTGCTTCGCGATTGGGAGGTGCAGTCGTTTGTCACGAACCAAGCGTAGGTGTTCCACAAAGTGGTCTCCAAGCCTCCGCTTGGTTTCCCCGATGTAGAGGAGGCCACAACGGGAACAGCGGATACAGTATACCACATTAGCAGATTTGCAGGTGAACATCTGTTTAATGTGGAAGGTTTTCTTGGGGCCTGGGATGGGGGTGAGAGGAGAGGCGTAGGGACAGGTGTAGCACTTCCTGTGGTTGCAGGGAAAAGTGCCAGGGGTGGTGGTGCTAGTGGGGAGTGTGGAGTGGACAAAGGAGTCATGAAGAGAGTGGTTCCTCTGGAAGGCACATAAGAGTGGGGAGGGAAAAATGTCCTCGGTAGTGGGGTCAGATTGCAGGTGGCAGAAGTGGCGGAGGATGATGTGTTGAATCCGGAGGTTGGTGGGGTGGTATGTCAGGACAAGGGGGATTCTGTTTTTGTTCTTATTGCGGGGAGGGGGTGTGAGGGATGAGTTGCGGGAAACGCGAGAGATGCAGTCGAGGGCGTTTTTGACCACTGTGGAGGGGAAGTTGCGGTCCTTGAAAAACGAGGACATCCTAACTCCCCACCTACACTCACCTTTACTGGCTCCATACCCGCCTCCTTGACCTGTCCGTCTCCTCTCCACCTATCTGCTCCTTTATCCATTTTCCATCCGCCTCCCCCCTCTCTCCATTTATTTCAGAATCCCCTTCCCCATTTCTGAAGAAGGGTCCAGACACGAAACATCAGCTTTCCTGCTCCTCTGATGCTGCTCAGCCTGCTGTGTTCATCCAGCTCTACACCTTGTTATACCAGAGAAAACTCCTCTGCTTTTCTTCAAAATCATGGCATTGAATCATTAAATGTACCTGATAGATGAAGGCCGTAGTTTAATATCAGATCTGAAAAACAGCGTCTGAAAGTGCAACATTCCCTCAGTGTTGCATTAGCCTTATTTTGTGCAGAATTTGAAACCACAATCATTAGCTCAGAAGTGAGAATTCTGCCAACTAAGCCATTGCTGACACCTAAAAATCAGCTTATATTAACATGGTGCTTCACAGTTGGGCTTTGTACAAGGTTCTGATTAAGTTACCGGACTCAGAACGTTACTTCAGCTTTCTCCCCACAGATGCTGCCAAACCTGTGGAGTTTCACCAGCAATTTCTGTTTCTATTTCAGATCTGCAGCATCTGCAGTTTGTTTTTGTTTTATATGAGGTTTTCTGTCAAATGGATAAGTTTATGAAATTTGAGCAAATTTTAACAGTACCATCTGCTGAGATTAAGCATTTCGATCTAACTGTCACGATCCCAATGCTTTGTCACCTACATTGAACACATCTTTTTCTTGCTCATATTTAACACCCCCAATTCTCACATTTAGCACAATTCTGCCTCTGACTTTACCATGTTTAACACATCGCTGCTCATTTTGATGACAAAGCCCCTGAAGACCTCATGGAAAACAAGAACAAGTTCTGTCATATAGCCATGTTTGGCTGCTTTAGTTTGGAGTCTGTGTACTGTCCGTTCCATCTGGGATTTATGAGCTTTTTCATTCAGTACTACTATGTACTGGCCAGGCAACCTCCAAGCATCCTGGGAATACAATACGAAAGATCAGCATTTTAGTCAGCATGAGACACGGTTTTTAAGCTTAATTGTAAGTCATAGCATTAACTTGAAACTGGTTGATCATTAGTGAGCAGATCGACTTAAAATTGTTGCTTTCTGCAAATCAAATTGTCTTCCAGCAAACCTCAATTAATTCACTCCTGATTTACATTCACAGCGGCACATGAGACTCGAGTTCTAAAGCGAATAATTCAGTTACTTCAAGGAAGTGATATCCTATCATGGAAGTTACACCTTGATACAATTGATAGGACGTTTAGTGTCATAAAACTTCCACAGGTGACCTAAATATAGAATTAAACACTGAGTCACACAACAAGATATCATGTGAAGTGACTAAAAGCTTTGTTTTAAGGTGCAACTTTATAGAGGTGACAAACAGTAGTCGTTTAGGGGTGGAAATTCCAGAGCTTACAGCTCAGACACAGCTATCAAGGGTAAAGTTATGAAACTGGAGGAACACAGAAGTTCCAGAGGGTCATGGACAGTATTCCCTTTAAAGCATGATTGTTGTACGAGGCCTCCATTTTGTTTCAATGGAATTACTTATCCTTGAACGGAGCTGACAGTACCTGGCCATGTACCTTTGATCTAGGTGATGATAAATCTGTTCATCTCTAACATTACTGAATACTGATCAAAAGTAAATAACCTTAAAACACTAACTCTGGCAGAAGTGAGAAACAATTATTCACAGTTGTTAGTATTGATCAATAGATATTTTGTTAGGCAGGAACATTGAGGGATATAGATCAAAGACACAAATCAACTGTGTAGTGGAACAGGTTAGACACTAAAGAATTAACACTGCTCCCACAAGCTGAGCTCATCTACCTGTAACCCAGAAGAAGCGCATTGAGGTGCTGCTCGAGAGGTTTGCAATGATCTGTCTAAACAGGTTAATTAAAAGTGTCTAGAACAGAAAATTCTACATGTCTGTCTTCTGATAGATCATACAGAAAATGACAAATATATACTTATAAATACTTTCGGCCAATCTCTTGCTGAAGTTACTGTGCAACTCTAATGCAGAGATTTTTAATTTTAAAAAATGCAAGAGATTATTACACCTAGTTATCTGGATGCATGTCATACAACGCTAAATTGAAAAGATTCACACTGGAGGCATAGGTGGGATCGGGAACAAGCCCTCCTGTGATTCAACCACTATTTACCACAATGCTGGGCATTTTTGTAAACGCGTTTGACAGAAGAAAAAACAGCCACTTTTAGCAACATATTGTTGAACATGACTTTTTGGACATATAGCAGAGCAAACCATTTTGTTTTGTACAGATTTAGGTGACTTCAGAGAATTTGTTGTGGGTTCCTAAGTTTACCTCAAAATACGATATTACCTGTACTTTAAAATTCAAAGAGACAACTAACTCCAAAGAAATTGGTAGATTTTATTCCTTTCCAAGGGGATAGTTTACAATCTTTGAAATTGTAAAATTGAACAATTTTACACAGTGAAATTCTGAGTACAAAGATAAACAGCTTGCAAATCGACGTAAACAATAACACGCACAGAAATGACAGCGTCATTTTTTTTAAAATGATAAAATATTTTAAAAGATTCAAGGGTCAAGTTTCCAGGTGAGATTGCATTGACTGAAAGCAAGCTCAATTCTGAAATAAACCGCAAGGTATTGCTTACTGTGTTAGATCGGTGGAAGGGAGCGGGCTTGTTCTGGTTGTGGTTCCATGGTTCAGTCTCAGAATCCTGCAGGAGGATCTCCTCATTGAAGGCTAAAGATTCACCGACCTCCTCTTCCTTTTCAAACCCTAATGTGGAAGATAGAAAACACAGGAGAATCAGTATGTTCGCCCAGATTGGGGAGCCTGCCATGGTTGGGTAAGGAAAGGTTTTAAAGGGGCTGCTCAGATGAGAGAGAGAGAGAGAGAGAGGGAGGGAGGGAGGAGCCCGGGATCTCGCCCCCTTTTCTCCTTCGGTGAACGCAGCAAACACTCTCAGCAAGTGACTTCTGGCACAAGTGGTGCCTATAAATACCTGTTCTGAAAGGTGTATGGTTGCCGCCCTGACATCACGAGGGTCCCTGGTCTGAGGATCACGCCACTGATATCACATCAGACCATCCATTCATATGAATTGTTACCTGCCTTTGGAAAGCCCACAGCGATCAAATTACAATCCAAGAGTAGAAAGACGGCCCCTTTCCAATCAATGCTCAAACAAACCCTTCCAACTGCGAGAAACCTATACCCAAGTGCACTAACTCAAATGCCATGTGTAACCAGTACAGACCGTACATCACTTAATGCCCAAGAGGTAGAGTCCTTTCAAAGCAAGTCAATAGTTGTTACGTTAGGTGAATACTCATTTTGTTTATTCCACATTCTGTACATTAACATAATTAGAGAGAAAATACAAATATTGGTGCAGATTTTGTGTACATGAGCTGAGATCTGTCAGGATTTGGGGAAAGATTTTTTTTAACATTCCTTTGTTATCATGTCTTTCAGGTGAGATTGGATATGGGAAGTCAGCTGTGGCTTCCCCTCTGAGGTAGTAATGTTCTGGGTTCTGTCCACACTCCAGGGGCTTCGACACAAAAAAAGAATTGAGGCTGACAACCCAATGTGGTAGTGAGGAAAGTCCTGGACAGAACTTTCTTTCAGTTGAAACTCACACTCCAGCTGCTTACTTAGATAAAAGATCCCGAAGCACTATTTGAAAGGAAAGCAAAAGAGTCAATATTTATCCTCCATCACCAAAACAGATTACCTGGTCACTATTACATTGCTCAGTTCTGAGGAAGGGTCACTCGACCTGAAATGTTACCTCTGATTTCTCTCCATAGATGCTGCCAAGACTACTGAGCTTTTCTGGCAATTTCTATTTTTATTGCCAGCACATTACTGTTCATTGAAATATCTGCTAGTTGTGAAAATGTTGTATAGATTTCTTTTTCTGTACATTAAGCTAAAAGCTTACCACAGAGGAGCATGCTTCAAGTTATCTCGGGTTAAGATGGAGTATGAGATCTTTATACCCTCAGGTCACATGCTGTGATACAGTGCTGATATCACAAACGTGTCTCTTAAAGATATCCCAACATACTGACAGGTGAAACATAATGCAACATTCCCTTTGTTTTCAAAGATAAACGCTTATTCCAAATAGATATATATGGTTGCACATAGATAATTACATAACTTCAATATCACTTTGATGATTACATAAACAGGTAAAACAGAATTTAAGGGGCTGATGATTCAAACCTCAGTGCAATGCTTTAGAGGTTTGATCACATGTCCTGATCTGGTGAGCATTTATCCATCTGGAAAGGTATACATTGTTTGCTGACGCATTTTTTGATGACTAGTAAACATCATCATTAATCATCTTCATCATCAGAATGTTGTTCCCCACTGTCTTCATGCATACTTGCTGTGCTGTACATTGGTTGGAGCTGGCTTCTGTTCCTTCACAATGTAGCACTATGACTTTTTATGACCTGGCCTGGCTTATACATTCTAGAAACTTTTGCGAGTATCTAAGTATCAGTATTTGTACTTCTCTGTGCAGTGTGCAGTTTAGATAGTCCTCTATCTGCTCACTCATCATGTATCTCTTTCATTTTGCATAGTCTTTGAATAAAAATGACCAACTGGTTCAATTGAACACCCAATTAGACAATTGGTTACTGGCAAAGTCATTCACACTTGCTCTTTAACCATAAATTGTGCTGGAAATGGTAATCCCATCTCCATTAGTACATAAATTTAGCAACGCAATGCAAAAATCTTACATAAAACCTAATGATGTTTGATTTGATAGTACATGAGTGAGAATGTAATGTTGTCTTGAAATCATTTTCCAGCATATTGTGGTCCATTATCAGACACTGCTTGATCTAAAGAAGCTGAAAATAGTGCTCATCGTGTCAAATATAGTCACGCTTATTGTGCTGCTGAATCATGAAACTATGGAAAATTCAGAGGCATAATCCATCACAAGGATGTAATCTTCCATGTGCACTGTGAATAGGCCTGTTGTTTTGTTCAGGGAGCGGATGAAACATTGATGAACATAGAGGCTCCACCTGCTGCTGTGATTGATGCATTTGGCATGCCTCACATGCATTTTCAAGTCGTTGATTGTCTGGATTTAACCATGACCAGTACACAGATTCGCATGCGAGCAGTCTTAATTGTTCAATACCCAAGCATTCCTGGTGTAACATAGACATGATATCTTGGTGTAATGCTTTTGGCATTAGGACTTGTTTGCCTTTGAAAATGACTTGTTGTGAGTTTCCAAGCTTATCTCTGAATGGCCAAAATGAATGAATGGTCTCAGGTACTCCTTTGATACTGTCAGGTCATCCCTGGCTAATGATCTTCTGTAAGTCCTACAGTTGCTCGTCTTCAGCAGTTGCCAATTGCAACAGTTCACAATGGCGAAAGTGTAACAGATCAACTTGAGAATATCTTCAACTTTGTAATCTACCACATACGCATGTAGATTGGAAAGACCATGTCTCTTTATTTTTCTGTGTTTCTGATTGTGGACTGAAATGGAAAAAGTCAAGAATTATTGAAGTATTGCTACTTGTTTTAAAAACAAGTAACCTGAAATCAATGTCAACGCTGCTTTCTCTCCACAAATGCTGCCAGACCTGATGAGCCTTTCAAGTAATTTCTGTTCTTAATTCACTGTAAAGTGTTGTAATATGTTGGCACTCGTTCCTGTGACAATTTTAGCTTTTATTGTGTGTCATTCTGCTTTCTCAGGACATATGATATTAATGGTTGTAAAAGCTTCTGATGCCTTGGAATGCAACATGGTGCATGAGGTTAATAATATTGGAAGCTTGGCAATTTCCTACAATTTGTCTTTTGCTTGGTAGCCTCTGTACCTCACTGATGTGTTTATATCAGCGCACCTTCTTACTTCCTTTCCTATTTGTCAATGTTCAGCACTTCTGTCATACTGTTTGTCACTTATGTTTTGTTGGTCACCAGGGGCTTGGTCTTTGGAACCAGGTTGCTTGCTCATGCATCACAATGCCCCTTGGTGTCACATGAAATACAGATATGCAAAAAGCTTTTGAATGGGTACAAGAAACCACAACTGCTTTAGCTTTTTTGGTTTGGTGCACTTTGCCAACTGTAGCAATAATGTTGGCTGCACCTAAATGTAATTGATGTTTACTTGCTACTATGGCTTCATATTTACACCCATCCTCAATTAATCAATCAATCATCTTTTTCTTGCCACAATGATCCTTCCGAAAGATTTTAATTAATGTAGAGGCAATGACTAATGCAATGGACCTCTCCTATAATTTATCTTCAAAAGAGTTATACTTATGCCCTTTGCTGCAGCATCTGCTGATAATTGGTCAGTAGATTTTTGGGGTTACTATATGTATGACATAAGTTGGAGCTGATGATCTTAAAGTTAATTTTTATCTTGAGCTTTCCCAGATCTTTTCTGGATCTTTCCATGGAAAGATCAAATATTCTAATTCTGCAGCCCCTTGTTGCCAATGGCAAGCAAGATTTTAGAACTTTTTCTGGGGTCAGCTATTTCTCAATCTGTAAAATAAACTTGCACACATTATTTGCACAGTTGTAATTCAGAAAGAAATCACTGGATTCCCGATCCATGATAAAACCATGATTCTGCCTTAAAGACTTTTGACTGTGCCTTATAAAGCCATGTGTCCTGGCTTTATGTGAGTGTAGGCTAAAAACTGCTCCTTCCTTAAGAACCTCCTCAAAACTTTGTACTTACTGTTCCAAGAAACGATTGCTTATGTATCAACTGTCCTGAACACAGTGTACCTCGTGTCCAGCTTCTGTATTGTTCCACATTGGCTTTGTGTTCCAGTTCAAAAGTGCCTTGCAGCCTTTTTTTTTCTATTTATTAATGCAATCTTGGAAATTTAATTTTTCTTGCAAAATCTTATATTCTAATCAGTAAGAAATAAGTTCTGTTTTCTGGGTGGTTAATACCCAATCCGTAGATCTATGCAGCTGATTGTACTCACAGGAACTTAAATGGGGAAAGACCACAGAAAACTGCAGCACAGTGTGATTTGAGGGTCTTAGTGCTTAAATCATTAAAAAAAACTGGCATCCAAGTTCAGTGGGTAATTAGGAAGGCAAATAGAATGTTGGTCTTTATTTCAAAAGTTGCCCATTTAAGACAGAGGTGAGAAAGAATTTCTTTCTCTCAGAAGGGGGTGAATTTGTGGAGATCTGAGGGCTGTTGAGACTGGGTCGTTAAATATATTCTGGGTTGAGATAGACAGATTTCTGATCGTTAAGGAAATCAAGAGTTATGGAGACAATGCAGGAGAGTGGAGTTAAGGAATATCAGATCAGCCGTGATCTCATTGAATGACAAAGTGGATTTGATGGGCTAAATGGCCTACTCCACCCCAATGTCTTATGGTCTTATCAGAGGCAACATAATATCCGTGGCTTCTTCCTACTGGCAATATGCTACTAAAGGTTAAGGTGAGTAGCAGTTTGAAATCCATGGTGTATACAAACATGAATTAGGAGAAGTAGACCACTTACCTCCTCTGGCCTGCTCTGACATTTAATAAGATCATTGCTGACCTAATTCACGTTCCTTCCCAACTATTTCTGATAACCTCTCACCCCGTTGCTTATCAAGAATAGTATACCTCTGCTTTAACAATATTCAAAGACTCTGCTTCCACTGCCCTTTGAGTAAGGCTCACCAAAGACCTTTCAGCCTAAAAATTCTCCTTATCAAGATTTCTCTTCAGCTCTGCTATCTCACTTTGCCTCAGCAAATACTAAGACAATTACACACCACTGGAGTTGCCCATTTATCACCTGTAATTTACACTGTTGACAACTATTCTTCCTATATTATCAAGAACACTGATGACACAGTGTG